CAGGGGACAGTGGGAGGGGATGGCAGGAGAGGGAGGGGGTCTCTACAGTTCTGGAGCCAGGGGGAGGGTTGAGGGGTGGAAATCTCGTCTCGTGCCGGGCCCTGTGCAAAGGAACGGGAGGCGCCCAGGAAACAGAACGGAAGCAGGATCGTGCCCAAACGCAGCTGTTCCGCCGCACCCCGTAGCTCCATGGGAGGAGCCACATCCCTGCCCCAATGCCCCTGCCAGTGCCAAACCGCCAGCCAGAGACCTCAGAGCCGGCTGAGCGTCCAGGGTTTGGCTCTGTGACCATCTCAAATTGCAACCCTGTATAGACCGTCCTGGCCCCTCCCGAGAACGGAAGCAGGATCGTGCCCAAACGCAGCTGTTCCGCCGCACCCCGTAGCTCCATGGGAGGAGCCACATCCCTGCCCCAATGCCCCTGCCAGTGCCAAACCGCCAGCCAGAGACCTCAGAGCCGGCTGAGCGTCCAGGGTTTGGCTCTGTGACCATCTCAAATTGCAACCCTGTATAGACCGTCCTGGCCCCTCCCGCCCAGCGGGTCCCTGCAGAACCTCCCTGAATCTTCCTTTGCTCCCAGCGGGTCACCCCCTCTCTCCTAGGGGCGCCTGGCACCGGGGCCCAGCAGACTGGGGCAGGTTTCTAGCCCCTGCAAACCGGGTGTGTCAAGAGAAAAGCCCCCCAGCCTTCTTAGAGCCTTGCATCCACAGCTGCCTCTCCCTGGGCATGGGTTCCCCAAAGTGGAAATAGAACCCAAACGGCCTGACTTCCAGATCCTGCTCTAACCACTAGCCCCACTACCTCAAACGCCCAGCTCCTCCTCTTCTGAGCTAACCTGAGTTGCTGCCTCCATTTCCCCCAAGAACGAATGACAAAATAACGGCTTTTAAGTCAGCAGCTCTCAGAGTTGATTGCGTTGTGTGCTCCCCGGGGGACACCTGCCTTCCTATTTACACTCCGCTGTTTATGGTTTTAATTCAGCTTTTCCTCACAGTTTGTTCTTTGGGCCCCTGCAATTTCCTTTTTCTTTTTTTTTCCTACTAAAGTTTGTGTTTGTTTGTTTGCTTCAATCCATTATTCAACCAAACCCTCCCTTCGCAGGGATGTGTGACGTGCTTCAGCCCGTCTGGCTGTAGGTCAGGCCGGGGAAGGCAGCTGATAAGTTCAACTCTTCGGTGGCTAATGAATCCTGTTAGAAAAATGCACCAATAGTATTCAGCAGGTGTATAGCACTTCTCATTGCTCTCTACATGTTAACTAACTCAGCCTCAACCCTCAGGGCCCGAGATCAGTGTTGTTATCCTCATTCGACTGCTGGGGAAACTGAGGCACGGAGCCAGGCCGTGGCTTGCCCCTGGTCAGACTCTGACTCCATGGCAGAGCCTCCAGGGCTGGTTGAAGACATGCAGAGGTCTTAAGCGATGTCAAGTTGAAGAGGTCCCATAGCATGACCCCAAAATGCTCATTGTTCTAAAACAGTGTTTCTCAACCTTTTTTTTATAATGTACCCCTTTAAAAAAATTATAAGTAACCCCAGGACCTACAGTTTTCAGACACACACATTTTTTTTCTACCATTGCAACACATTTGTTTAACCAACTTAATTGTAGCTGGGCGGGCGATGAAAGTTTTGGGTGTAAAAAGTACAAAAATAATAAAGCGCTGTAAAACTTAAAACAAAAATTCAGTTTTCTCCAAATTTTAGTTGTGTTGACGTACCCCCCCAGATGTCTCTCGAGTACCCCTAAGGGTACTCATACAACTGGTTGAGAAACACTGGTCCAACAGAAAGGACAATGAAAATAGAACTAATAAAGTTTTATTTTTAAATAGCTCCCGGTACATAGGTGAGGATGCCACAGAAAGCTCGTCCTTTTTTGTAGTTAACGGCCCCTCATCATCTGAGACCCTAAACTGTAGCTTATTTCAGTGATTTTCAAACTTTTTTTCTCATGACCCCATTGAAGAAAATCGTTGATGCCGTGAACCCACAGAATGTGACTGGAGTGTGGGCTCTGGGGTGAGGCTGAGTAGGGGAGCTTTGGGGTGTAGGAGGGGGCTCCGGCTTTGTGGGGGGGACAGGGCTGGGGCAGGAGCGCTTCCAGGCAGCGGTGCAGTGGGGAGGGGCGGGGGGAGAGTGAGGCAACTTCCTGCCTCTCCTGGCACCGCAGACCCTGCTACGCCCCAGAAGCAGCCGGCAGCAGGTTCCCGGCTAATGGAAGTGCGGAGTTCCTGGCCAATGGGAGCAGCTTTGCCACTGACTTGCTGTATGACCTTGGGCGTGTCACTTCACCCAAGATCCTCAAAGGCATTTAGGCACTTAACTGCTAATGTCAATGGGAGCAGCCTGCCTAAATACCTCCGCAGGATGAGCCTCCCCATTTCTGGGCTTTTATTTCCTCCCCCACCTTGTGGCTGTTTAGCTTGCTCTTTGTATGTACAGCACCGAGCGCAAGGGAACCCTGATCCCAACTGGGACCTCCAGGTGCTATTGGAATAGAAGACATAACAGTGGGAATCTTTCAATGGCTCCAACAGGTCCTTTGTCAAACGATATGAAAAGCTAATGCTGTTTGAAGTGGTGTGGTAGCCATCCTGGATGCAGGAGAGGGGAAAGACAAGGTGGATGAATCAGAGCTCTGGGTAAGCTCAGGATTTTGTCTCTTCCACCACCAGAAGTTGGTCCAATAACAGGTATTACTTCGCCCTCCTCCCCTTGTTAAGCCGTGAAGTGCCTAAATGCCTTTGAGGATCTTGGTTGATGTGACAGGCCCAAGGCCATGGAGCAAGTCAGTGGCAAAGCTAGGGATATGAGCCAAGTTTTCTGAATGACCATCCCTAGCAATTAAATGGCTCTATCTGTGCATTGGGGGCCCCATCCTCAGCTGGTTCATGGAAGTTCGGTCCAGGAGGGGTAGGAATGGTGCCCCTGGCCTCTGTTTGCCAGAGCCTGGGAAGGGGCGACAGGGAAGGGATCATGGATGAGTCCCTGTTCTGTTCACTCCCTCTGGGGCACCTGGCCTTGGCCGCAGTCGTCAGACAGGACCCTGGGCCGGATGGACCTTTGCTCTGACCCCGTCTGACCGATCTTATGGTGTAAACCAGTTTTGTTTTGTTGGCTTTGTCTCCTCCCTCCCCTTTCACTTCACGGACTTCCGGGTCAGTCCCTGAGAGCTGAGCTCTGTATTTTTACAAGTCTGGCTGGGCTCTGGGGAAGGTCGTGCCCGTTCCATGGAGTCCTCTTGTTGCCAGCGCACTGGCCTAGAGACACAGGTTTTCCTCCGTCAGCCAGGTTTTTTTTTAAAGCCACT